AAACTATTAGGAAGTACCTTATTTTTCAGAGTATAAGACACACCAAGATTTTGAAGAGGCAATTTTTTTTAAAAAAAAATGTGTTTGCACTCTGCGGGCAAGCAAAAAACGGCCCATTTTTCATGAAAACAGGCCTGTTTTTTTGCTTTTAAAAGGCCATGCATAGCCTTTAGGAGGCTTGTAGAGTTCTCCTGGGGGCTGAGGGAGGGCAAAAACAAGCAAAAAAACAGCTTGTTTTTCACTCAGTTTTTCCCTCCCCAGCCCCCAGGAGCACTTTGCAGGCCTCCCAAAACTTCTGCACATCCATTTTTGTGAAGGGGGTGGGGTTTCAGGAAGCCAAAAATGCTGTATTCAGAATATAAGATGCATCCAGATTTTCACCCTCTTTTTTGGGTGGGAAACGGTGCGTCTTATACTCTGAAAAATACGGTATTAAGGTACACCTAACTCACAGATCAGGACCATGGAAGGCCTACAATACAAAAAGTGATCGGGTAGAATAGCCTTCACTTTTCTTAATCTTCTCCAGATATGTTAAGTTATAACTTGATCCGCACTTGATCCAGGTAGCCCTCAACTTATGATCACAGTTGGGACTAGAATTGCCATTTCTTTCTGAGGTGATTGTTAAGTGAATCACATTCAATTTTACAGGCTTTTTTTGCCACAATTAAACACGTCACTATAGTTGTTGAGTGAATCACACGGTCATTAAACGAATCAGGATTCCTCCATTGATTTTGCTTGTCCGGAAGCCAAATGGGAAGGTCACAAATGGTGATTACAGGAGCAGAAAATGCTGCAATGGCCATAAATATATGCTGGCTGCCAAATGCCTGAATTTTGATCACGTGATACAAAGAACGTCATGTGCGTTTTGCTGGTAACAAGGTACCAGATGATGAATATCAGGCAGGAGAAGCAGAATGGAGAATAGGGAGGAAGGAAAGGCTAGTGAAGGGATTACTTCCTGTGGCAATACAGCTTTGCAAGTCCCGCCTGTATCTCTGGATATAAGAAGCTGAGGACATGAAATGGAATATGCTTAGGCAGGAGTCCCCCAACCTGGGGGTCATGCCCCAGAACTGGACCGCGGCCTGTTCAGAACTGGGCCATGGAAAACGGCAAGCAAGCTTGAAGGTCCATTTACATGAGCAATGGGTAGACCCGCTTGTGTACAAAGTTCCATTTGTGTGAGTGGCACAATCACTCACATGGAACCAACACTTCCCCCCTCCCTCTTCCAAAAAGGTTGGGGACCGCCGTGCTTAGGTATATCCCTGGAGAATCTATTGATGATTATCCGGCCAGCACACTACTACCGGTTTGCTTGTGCTCATGCTTCACTATGCGCGCAACTGGAAAACAAGATGGCAACGCCGACAGGCCTAGCGGGGAACCGGTTCGAGGGTGTGACAGGCCTGGATCACTGCCGGTTCCAGTGACCCAGGCTGCCAAACCACTACCGTTTCGGCCAAACCAGGCCAAACCGATAGAAACCCACCACTGGACTAGATCTTGGGGAGATCTAGCATTGCAGCACAGAGGTCAAAGAGACTTAATAAAGTCTGGTGAGATTTAGGGAAAGCAATCAAAGCTTTCTCCCTTTGAGTTCTAGAATGAGGATCCCCAACCTATTAGATTCCGCAGACTGACAGCGGCAACTTAATTGGTTTCGGAGGCAGCAGGAAGGTAATGGTTTCATGTGTGCAACCTAAATCCCACACATTTGCAACCCCTGTTCTAGAAAATGCTGAAATATCAAAGGTGGATGAGGGTGGAATCAGGTCTGTATTCCACATGCATAACTTTATTTAAAAGTGCTGAAGATGGAAAACCAGCAGACAAAAATCACTTGTTAAAAAGTCCAAGGGTATCTAAGGATCCAAATGAATTGGGATTTTACATATTAAAACCCAGACACTATAGAGGACTAATTGCTTGTAGGTAATTAATGTAGCCTTGTCACCATATTTTCTTGTGACCTCTCTCCCTATTAGAAATAGACTTTTGCCACTTGTTGTTCTCCCTTTCTTTCTCCGCATAGATACCACCACCTCAACCACCAGCCAAGACCAAAAATCTACAGCCCGATGCTGTAAAATGGGTGAGCACGGAGGACCTTGACGTGGACGACAGTAAGAAAGGTGAGACCCCTTTTTCATTTGGAGTTGAAGAGCCAGCAAACAAGCAATTCTTCTTCTTGTTTTGTCTAAGCACATGGCCCAAATCATAGGTGAGAAATCCCAGGTTGATCTCTGGCCTAGTAAGAGCATAAGACTGAAAATTATGTTAGATGGAGTTGACTTGTCTACTAAAATATCCTTTGGACAATCTGTCTAGGATAGTGATGGAGACCTTGTGGTCCTTCAGAAGTTACTGATTTACATTCCAATCATCTCCCTCACCAATGTTCATGGTTGACTAGAACTATTGAATAGCTCAATAGCATTTAGAAACCACATGCTCCCCATCCTTTTATTTATTTTATTTTTTATTTTTATTTGTCAACAAGTACAAGGAAACAAGTAGGAAAAACATATGAAAAATGGCACAAATAAATGGATATAAATAAGCAAAATATAACCATAAACACATAAAAACAGTACATATAAATGGGGACAGTAGGATAGGGACAGTAGGCACACTGGTGTTATTATGCTCACCCCCTTAGGGACCTCTTAAGAAACGCGTAAGGTCCACGGTAGACAGATTAAGGTAAAAGGTATGGGGGTTAGAGGAACTAGCAACAGGCTCAGGTAGGGTGTTCCATACATTTACTACTCTATTGCTGAAATTGTTTTTCCTGCAAGCAAGATTAGAACGGATTACGTTTAGTTTGTGTCCATTGATAGCCCTTGTGTTATATGCAGTTGAAGTCAAAGTAGTCATTAACCGGTAGGACATTATGGCAGATTATCTTGTGCACTAAGCTCAGGTTGGAATGTAGACGGCGTAGTTCAAGGTTTTCCAGGGCTAAAATTTCAAGCCAGGTGGTGTACAGAATTTTATTACGAGCAGAGGAGTTGAGTACTCTTCTTGTAAAAAAGCTCTGAACCTTCTCTAAGGTTTTAAAGTCCGGAATGCAGTGGGGGTTCCAGGCAGGTGAGCAGTATTCAAGTATAGATCTGGCAAAGCGGTATATAAGCCTAAGCCTAACTATTATATGCCCTAGTTAGCAGCATAGCGTTACCAGAGAGAAAACTACATAAAATAAGGTTGACAATTCTGAATACCTTTTTGGCAATGTTGGTACAGTGAGGCCTGCGGCTTACAAGGTCTTTCGAAATGAGTACTCCTAGATCTTTGACTTGCTCTAGAAGAAAGCAATATGGTCTATATCTATGTCCAAACAACGAAACTAGCTTCTCAATGGTTTCCTAACATGTTTGATCATGTGATATTAGAAGGAAAGTATAAAAATGTCATTTTTGCACCTGTAAAACCTGAGACTTTATGAAGGTGACGGCTTGTTCCCTGAGCTTGTGGGTTGGTTTAAGAACGTTTTGTTACCAGGTGAGGTATCATCTCCAGAAGAGTTTAGGGGTGTCAGTGTTCATGTTCTTCTGTTTATAAGGGCTTCAAAATGGGTCAGATGTGGATCGGGTGGTGGTTTGCTCAGGGATGCGTTTCAGGCTTGTGTGCACTTCGGGCACACGTGTGCATGCACAGTAGTAAAAATATTGCTTCTGCGCATGCACAGAAGCAAAAAAACAATGGCGGTGCCTATAGTGCCGCCGATAAAACCGCTTTGGGGGTGTGCCCTGCTGAGTTAGTACCGACTCGGCCGAACTGGATCAAACTGGTGTGTCAAGTGAGGGTCTTGTGATGGGTCTTGCAAATTGCAAGTCATCAGCCACCCTACCACCCTACCACCCGCCGTGCTCTTGAGTTCTACAAAGCCTGGCAAGCCACAAGCAATTCCATCAACAGACACATGGACCTACAACCAACCTACAAATCCCTCAGAATCCAAATCAACTGTACAGCAACCCAGACACAGCACCGACCCTCAACCAACCCACCCCGCAACTAGCACTTCACCTCCCAATGACCCACACCTGACATAACCTCCCCATCACAAGACCTAGTACAAGTCCCTCACTTGACACACCATCACCTGACCCATCACGAAGTCCTTATAAAGAGAACACCGACATCCGCTAAACTCTGCTGAAAATGTTACTTAGGCCTGGTAGCAAAACATTCAGAAACCAACCCATAAGATCGGAGAATGAACCTTCACCCTCATCCAGGGGTGAAATTCAGCAGGTTCTGACAGATTCTGGAGAACCGGTAGCAGAAATTTTGAGTAGTTTGGAGAAGTGGCAAATGCCACCTCTGGCTGGCCCCAGAGTGAGATTTTGCAATATCCTTCCCCCCAGGAGTGGGGAGGGAATGGGGATTTTGCAGTATCCCTCCCCTGCCACGCCCACCAAGCCACACCCACAGAACTGGTAGTAAAAAAAATTGAATTTCACCACTGCCCCCATTCTACACCCGAGCTACAGATATTCGCCACTGTTGAGACTCTATCCCATGTCCTGGTGTCTTTTCTACAGCACTTAGCGCCCTACCCTCAAAACTCCTCTTGCTAAGTGAAGAACTACTTGCTCTGACAATGATCACATTTTCTTTCTACCTCCTGGCTACTTCTTTCAATGAAAGAAGTTCTTTCAATTAAACCACTTGCTGGTTTGCTTTCATAGATGTACTCTTTGTTAATGATACAGCAAAGAACATTACCTAAAGCCCTGGGATGAGGTCCCTGAAAACAATGCACCTGGTTTTCCAAATGCTTGGTGTAATCTGTTGTAGATAATCCAACCTTCCAGAGTTCTGTGCTTCAACATGTGGAATTCTCAGAAACTATCGTGAAGCTGGCTGATGATATGAGTTGTTAACCATTAGATGCCCAGATCCAGGAAGGTTGCACTTATGTTCTCATACCACTGGGAAGTACAGATAGTCCTTGATTTACGATCACAATTGAGCCCAAAATTTATGTTGCTGAATGAGACATTTGTTAAGTGAGTTTTGCCCCATTTTACAACCTGTCTTGGCACAGTTGTTAAATTAATCATTGCAATTGTTAAGTTAGTGACATGGGTGTTAAGTGAATCTGATTTCCCCATTGACTTTGCTTGTCAGAAGGTCAGAAAAGCTGATCGCATGACCTCAGGACACCGCAACTATCACAAATATGAACCAGTTGCTAAGTGTCTGAATTTTGATCACATGACTAAGGGGATGCTGCAACTGTCCTAAAGTATGGAAAACCTTTTCCAGTGCGGTAATTTTGAATAGTCACTAAACGAACTGTTGTAAGTCCAGGACTACCTATATCCTAAGCCACATTATTTGAAGTATTGGAGAGATCAAATAATCTAATCCTGCAAAATTCTAAAGGACCTCAGCATATTCATTTATAGCAGGATACTGTAGAAGGAGTGTGGCTGCTGCCTCTTGAATTAAGGGCTACAAATGGAGGGGTGCAAACTTGGGCAGACCCCCCTCTTCCCCCATCCTCACCCCCCCTCAACCCACCCATCCAGATCTATGTGTTCCAAGAACGGTGCATCCATTTTCAGCAGTGAATGTTTTGAAATAAGAAGTGGTATATTTTCTTTTGGGCATCATCTTCTTCTTCTTCCTAGCGTGTTCCCACAGATGCAGGATCTACTTTTTGGATCACTGAACACCACTTTCCATAGTCAGCTGCATCTCCAGGGTGCAGGCCCATGGCTTGCATGTCTTTCATTATGATGTCTTGCCATTTCTGTTTTGGATGCCCGCGAGGTCGCCAGCCATTGACTTCTAGTTGGCAGGCTGTCTTGGCAACGGTGGAAGGTGTTGCTCTCTTGACATATCCATACCAGCAGAGCCAACCTTCTCTCATCTTCTCCGTAATTGTTGCCACACCAAAGTGCTGTCAAATGGTGTAATTTATGATATTTTCTTCCGGGCATGTTCTTCTCCAAAGCATATAAATGATTCTGGAATAACAGGAATAACAGGACATCTGGGGGGAAAAAACGCACAAAGTTTTTGGAAGAGAACATATATCGGATTTTTCGGAGTATAAGATGCACCTTTCCCCCCCCAAAAAATGAAGGTGAAAATCTGGGTGCATCTTATCCACTGAATACAGCATTTTTGGCCTCCCGAAACCCTGCCCCTTTTGCAAAAATGGCTGTATAGAAGGTTTGGGAGGCTGGAAACTTCTCCTGGGGGCTAAGGAGGGCAAAAACGAGGAAAAAGGGGCCAATTTTGCTCATATTTGCCCCCCTCCCAGCCCCAGGAGCACTCTACAAGCCTCCCAAAACTCTGCATGCCCTTTTAATTTTTGCCAAAAAGGCCCCGTTTTTGCGAAAAATGAGCTGTTTTTTGCTCGTTTTTGCCCCCCCCAGCCCCCAGGAGTACTCTACAATAGCAATAGCAGTTAGACTTATATACCGCTTCATAGGACTTTCAGCCCTCTCTAAGCGGTTTACAGAGTCAGCATATTGCCCCCAACAACAATCCGGGTCCTCATTTTACCCACCTCGGAAGGATGGAAGGCTGAGTCAACCTTGAGCCGGTGAGATTTGAACAGCTGAACTGCAGAACTGCAGTCAGCTGAAGTAGCCTGCAGTGCTGCATTTAACCACTGTGCCACCTCGGCTCTATCAAGCCTCCAAACGCTCTGCGTGCCCCCCTTTATTTGCAAAAAATGAGGCATCAGAGGGTTTGGGAGGCCTGCAGAGTGCAAAAACTTTTTTAAAAAAATTTACCTCTTCAAAATCATGGTTTGTCTTATACTCCGGTACGTCTTCTACTCGAAAAAATACAGTAGTTCTTGCAGTTACCTATATACAAGGACAAATCATTTGCTTCTCCATGCCCATTTCCTTCCAATGAATCCATGAGTGACATCTCTTTCTGCTCTGGTAGATCACTTCACCATGGTCAATGAGGAGCTCGTCCTGAGGCTGGCCAACGGGACAGGTGGCGGTAGTAAGCCTCTTCACATCCCACGTACTCTGGATACAGATGCCCCTTTAGACTACAATTCAAATTCTGATCAAGTCCAGACCTGGTTGGAGGCCAAAGGATTCAGTCCAATGTGAGTTGGCCTATGCTTCTCTTTGAAAAAATACATGGGTTGGTAATGAAATCCAGGCATGTGTTTCCTGATATTTCTCTCTTTAAATCATATCAGATTCTAGATCAGAGATGCCATGCATGTTAACGCTCTTTGTAGTTGACAAACATCTAGTCTTTCACTGAATGACTTCTCAATAGCCACAATATAAAGCAGCAGCAGCAGCTTTCCTGAATTAGCAATAGCAGTAGCACTTAGACTTATATACTGCTTTATAGTGCTTTTACATCTCTCTCTAAGCAGTGTCAGCCTATTGCCCCCAACAATCTGGCTCCTCATTTTACCCACCTGGGAAGGATGGAAGGCTGAGTCAACCTTGAGCCTTGTGAGATTTGAACTGCCGAACTGCAGTTAGCAGTCAGATGAAGTAGCCTGCAGTACTTCACTCCAACCACTGCACCACCCAGCTCTTAGTTGATAGGCTTCTAAAATGTGCAGCTGAACTATGATTAACTATGGATTTTAGGTGTGTACCTGATAGTAACTAAAGTTAAGAGTAAAACTCTGTTAAATAAGATTCCTGTTTAATTGAGGTGGTGGGAGGGGTCTCTCACTGGCTAACACCAGTCAATAGGGACCTAGCAACTATCTGATTGGCTGTTGCTTACCCAATGGCGAAAGAGGTGTGGTCGCTCAGTGACCTAATCATTGGAGATAATCTTTGCTGCAATCGTTAGAGTCCTAGCACTGTATGGCGGAGTGAGCTCCCATCACTCAGCTCAGCTTCGGGCCATCTAGCAGTTCAAAAACATGTTCTATTCAAGCAGATAAATAAATCCCACTTTGGTGAGGAGATGAGCTTCATGCAGTTAAAATTCTGCCGGTACTGGACCTTCTCAATTGCAATGCACATTTGTGAGGCAAATTCGGTGGAGGCTCAGGGTCCAAGATGAAGCTGAAGAAAAGTAATTTGTTTTTCTTTCTGGTGTGGAGCTAGCTCGCCCCGTGTGGTGCATCTTGGAAAACGCATGAACATGAATCAAGGAGGGCTAACAATCTTAGGCAGCCTACCTATTACTCTGCATTAGAATTGTGGTCTCCTAGCTAATGTAACATCACCTTATGCTAAGTAAATAAATTAAACCCAATGATGATTTTTTTTAAAGAGTTTCATTATTTTTTGGTTACAAAACTAAACATTCCATCTTTCCTTATGCAGTGTGTCATCTGGGTACAAACATCTCTGTGCAACATCCTTCCTCTTTTGCCACATCTTTCACGTTCCTATTAACATTATTTCCTTAGGTTTAGTATTATAATACATTGTGCATTTAAACATTATGGAACTCCCCGTTTTTCTTCTTAATATCTTCTAGTAATAATATCATATCAACATTATACAACATTATTCTCATCACACACATACTAACAGTTTTCGTCTTATTTATATCTCTATCTAAGTGTATTATCTACTTATTTTTTTAGCTTTCTTCATTTCCAAACTCCTTTTTTCTCTCTCCAACCATTGGTAAAATACTTCTCAATGGGTAGTATTTTCAGTACCAAATTTTTATTGGTACTTTAGACATTCTGCTATTTGGTCAAAAGAGCTGCCAGAGTATAACCTAGTTAGACTCTAACTGTTAGAGGACCCTTTCAAATCGGTTTCAGAGCTTAAATGGAATGATTCCTTTTTCCTATGACGCTCTTATTTATTCCGCCTACTTTTTTCCCTCCTTCCTGCAGGATTGTCAGTGCCTTGGGAATTCTCAATGGCGCTCAGCTCTTTTCCTTGAAAAAGGATGAGTTGAGAGCTATCAACCCAGAAGAAGGTCCTCGAGTCTACAGCCAGGTTACCATCCAGAAAGCGCTCCTAAAGGTACCAGGGATTTTGACATCTCTTCCAAGGGTTGGGTGAACTGAGGCCATCAAGAGCACAAGAAACTAAGAAATCTATCAAGATTCAGCAAAGATATAATAGAAGGGCTGAGAGGGATGGGACAAGCACAAAGGATGCCAAAGTTTCAAAGCAGTAGATGACATAATGAGAGTTTTGTGCTTGGAAGTCAAGCTCTTCATCCTTCATTTTCTATTATTTTCTTCTAGGATTCTGGGAAAATGTCAGAGCTAGAGGCCGTGATGGCGAGACAAAAAAGAAAAGCAGAAGGATTGGACTAACAGAGCTCTCCTTTTGTGTGGCAGTATGACTTTGCTAAAGAAATGTGGAAATGCCAGATCTTTCTATAGGATCAGAATCTACCTTGTGTAGGGTGATCAGCGTGAAAGAATTGGTGATAATTGTTACTGTGGGTGTTTTATATTCTTAATTTTCTATAAAGAAGAGAAACGTACTGGGTATCCCCAATTTCATGGAGCAATCTTCTACCACTCTCCCTATTCCTTAGTTCTCAATTATTTTTAAAATAAAGAAAATTATTAAGTCCTATAGGATCTACACTATTCTCCATTTTGGAACAATTTGCTTAATTCTCCTTGTAGAATTATCTCTTGATCTCTCAGTAGGAAAATACAAATATGATATAGTGTATGCTATCATCCATTCAATTTTAGTTTTTTCATTAAACATCAGCATGGATTGAAGAGATTTCCCCCCCCCCCAGTCGTATGGCCTTGTGGACTCTGCGTGTAAATCCACATAAAAGCAATAATTTTTATACACAGTTAGTCCAAAAACATTGTAGAAACTGTAGTCAGAATTCTGCCTGCATTTTCAGTGAGTGACATTTTGCAACTCTCATGAACTTTTAAAGCAGATCATCCTGTCTAGCCAAAATGACTCCATCTGTCCTTTTTTATAGGTTCCTGTGAAATAATAGCTGAGCATAAAAATATTAAATAATCTAAGGAAGTGTGTGTCATAAAAATGATGAATTATTATTATTATAAGAGTTAATTGCTCAAAATTCAGAGGACTTTCTTGTTCACAGAACAATACATTTTTTGGCCACTAGGTGGCAGTCGGCAGCCTCTGTGGTCAAAACAAGCTGTTTAGCTGCAAATAATTTCCCTGCAAATCAAAAAGATTTAGCCAGATTTTTAAGATTTAGCCAGCTTCTTCCTATTGTCATGAAAGCAACTTTATGGAGAAAATGAACTGAATCAGCTGCTTTGAAGGAAAATATGATGTTTCAACTTCAAAAAAAAAAGACTTTATGATAAAATGAGGCCATTTGCCTTGAAACTTGCTGTGCTGAGATTCCATTATAGGGTATGTGTGTATTTCTGTATGTGTGTGTTAGGTAACTGTTTAATTGGCTCTTTTTTCCACTAGTTTTCTCACAATTTGATGAACGTGTGTAGAACAATGCACCATAATTTGATTGCTGTGCTACTAAGGCAGTTTTTGTTAGAAGTTTCTTGAGTTCAGTTTTATCCCTAAATCTACTAGCAGTTCTCCACAAACTGTTTACTCCATGCTGCCAGTAAGATTAATGTTTTTATGGAAGAGAAAGATGTGGATGGTAGAAAACACTGTAAGCTGTTTTCCTGTAATAAATCTAATGCAAGAAATATTTATTTTAAGCCTATTTATATAACATTATGATTTCTATTAAAACAAATATTAATATTTGTTTTTAAAAGATTGATTTTTAAAAGTTCTTTTTAAAAAAAAATGAAATTGATTTTGAAATCTCTCTCTGAAACGAGGTCCCTAGTTAAGTGGCCCATTAAGCCAAATGGGTTTTTGAGCAGCATGTAAATCTCCCAGGAAATAACATTTTAAACAGCATTTTTAAAGCCAGAAATTTTGTTTTCTGGCTGCTTTGCAGGAGAACATCATTGTAGAAGGACTACGAATCAATCCCAAGATCATCTATTCCTCATGGGGGCACTGATGAATCCAATACAGGTAGTCCTCGACTTACAACAGTTAACTTAGTAACCAAAGTTACAACTGCACTGGAAAAAAGTGACTTATGACTGTTCTTCACACTTACGACCGTTACAGCATGGACACGTGATCAAAATTCAAATGCTTGGCAAGTGATTCACACTTACGACAGTGTCCCAGAGTCACGTCATCCCTTTTTGCGACCTTCTGACGAGCAAAACCAACGAGAAAGCCAAATGCACTTAACAACCATGTTACTAATTTAACTTCTGCACTGATTCACTTAGCAAATGTGGCAAGAAAGGTCAATAAAATGGGGCAAAACTCACTTAACAAATGTCGCGCTTAGCAACAGAAATTTTGGGCTCAATGGTAGTCATAAGTCGAGGACTACATGTAAGGTGTTTCAGTTTAGTTTACACCCAGGAAATTTAGCGCAGTCCAAAAAAACCACACAGGAGACCATCTCTCATTGGTAACTAATTAAGATTTGCACATTTTATGTGTCTGATTTATTTTCTGCAAACTTCCTAAGAGCCCAAGTTCTTGTTTGTTGTAGTGCGACATGATGGAAATGCAGTATCTCTTATTGTTTCAGGACTTGGGGAGATTTTATGGAAGATATTGTTAATTGCATTAAAATCTGTAAATAAATTTTTCGAGCAAGAACCTGCCTCATATTTCCATATATATCTGTCAGAACCCTGACACATGCAAGCAATGAATAATAATGCAACTGGTGCAAATACACTGATCTATTAATCTCATTAGGATTTTCATTGATCATTTATTGACCTACTGATGTTTTCATTTCACCCCAGTAGAAATAGTCTTCTGGACAGATCTGATTTAGTGGCAGAGTTTCAGTTGTATTCTTAAACCATTATATAACTTCAGGGCTGCTGTTTCTCCTAAAACTTGTTATTCATATTTATTCTATTCTTATAGACTGGAGTTCTGTTACATTTGTCCCAAGCTTAGCATTAGAATGAGGTCAAATGATTTTAAGAAACTACTACCAGTAGTTAAAAAGAATAGGTTGACCTTCTCAGTTTTATGGTGCGAAATGGGCGTATCAAGATGTAATAGAGGGACATGTGAAGTGAAAAGAGAAGAGAAATAAAAGAAACACTGAAGAAATGGCAAAAATGTTTTGCATTTACTGTAGAAGGGTAAAACACCGAAATATTTCCACTCTTTGGTGGAATTCCACATTTTCTTCTACTGGTTCAGTTCCTGCATCAGCTTTCTATGTGAAGTCTAGACTTCTGGGTTCTCAGGATCTTTCTCCATTCCACATGATTGATTGATGCCTTGGTCTTCTGGGTTTTTACTTGAGAGCTCAGGATTGTGTCTGCAGTGTCCCAAATATAGAACATAGAATAATCAGGTTGGAAGAGACCTTGGAGATCTTCTAGTCCAGTGATGGCGAACCTTTTTCTTACAGCATGCCAAAATTGCACACACACATGTTATCGCTCATGCGCACGTGCCCACAACACTTCACTCCTCCCCTGTCACCTGTGCATGCTCACATGACCCGCCCCATGCATGCATGTGCGACATCTCCCCAGGCTCCAGAGGCTTTCCTTAAGCCTGGGGAGGACAAAAATGGCCTTCCCCGGCCCCCCAGAAGCCAGAAACAGATTGTTTCTGAACTTCAGGTTGGTCTGTTGGGCCCTTTTTCGCCCTCCCCAGGCTTGAGGAAAGCCTCCGGAGGCTGGGGAGGGCGAAAAACATTCACAACAGCCCAACCGGAAGTTCAGAAATGATCCATTTCCAGCTTCTGGAAGACCTCCAGGGGACCCAGAGGCCATTTTCGCCCTCCCCAGGCTTGAGGAAAGCCAGCGGAGGTTAGGGAGGGTGAAAAAAAGACCTAATGGGCCAACCAGAAGTTAGTTCTTGAACTTCCGGTTGGGCTGTTGGGGCTGTTTTTCACCTTCCCCAGCCTCCGGAGGCTTTCCTCAAGCCTGGGGAGGGCAAAAACAGCCTTTCCTGACTCTCCGGAAGGGAAGAAATCAGCTGGTTGGTGCACGCATGCGCGCCAGAGATGACAGCTGGCGGGCCAGCAAATATGTCTCCATGAGCCACCTGTGGCACCTGTGCCATAGGTTCACCATCACGCTTCTAGTCTAACCCCTGTTCAAGGTAGGAAACCCTATAACATTCTGGACAGAATGTTGTCCAATTTCTTCTTAAAATCCTCCAGTGACGGAGCACAACTTCTGGAGGCAAGCCATCCCACTAAATTGACCAGAACTGGATGTGGTGTCATCATTTTACCCTAATAGCAACACCCTTTTGAGTTTAAAAACAAAACCCACCCAGCGAGCTCCATGATCTAATGAGAACTTAACCTGGATTTTCTCCATGCCTGTCCAATACATCAATTGCTATTTCTACATAGCTCCCTCCTTGCCTCCCACTGCTGGATAGAAACCACAACACTGCTTATTTGGCCTTGCTTGTAGGAAGCAAGTCCAAGCAGCTTGTTTTGAGGAAAGTGTCTGGATTTTGCAACTTGAACACTGTGGTAAGCACTGTTTATGACGCAGATTCTTTTGGAGCGGGTCTGGGCATGCTTTGGAGGGCAGATACCAACATGGGGCTTGGCCTACCAACTTCAACCGGCCAGGAAGAATGGAGGGAGGGGGGAAATGTTGACTCCGTCTTGCCTGGCATGTTGGGTCCATGGGATCATGGATTCCATGAACTCATAATAGCACAGCGAGGTATCTAAAAGTTTCAAGATAAACAGTGACATGTGCTGAAGATGGAATGCGAGTTCTGGTTTGACAAGGGTATTTAGGACCGGGGTTGGGAGCTACTGAGAAGATGACTCAGTCCTGGCGTGAAATATCACTTCAGTTGCCAAATTCCAATATATTGCCACATCCACACAAACACACACACACACACTCACTCACACACACACAAAACCCTTCAGAGATCTTCCCTTTGAATTTCCCAACCAGCAGCAATCTCCATTGGGGAAGCAGCTGTAGAAGATGCTGAGAATAGGGAAGGGCTGGAGGAAAATCCAGAATTTTATTATAGATTAATCAACTGTCTAAGTAGTTATGTGGGTCTTGGGCTTTCCTTTCAATGAGTTGGCAAACCAGGATGTAACTTTGTGGAGAGCAGGCAAGAGACTCACAGGAAGACTGGCAACTGGTTGAACAGTCACACCCATCAAAAGATCATAAATAATTGTCAGCCATCCTCCAGAAAGATGTCAAATAAGGTGCAGTAGAGCTCCATCTTTGCTTCTGTATTATTCAACATTACGACATTTCTAGAAAGTGGAATAGATGAAAGTGATGCTCATCAAATTTACAGATAATTGATTAGACTTTAAACAACAAAATCATTGAACATTGTTTTGACTTTAAAAAAAAATCCAGCATGATGATGTTCAGTGGTCACCAGTGTGAATCTTCCATCTGAATAGAGGTTAAAAAAACCCCCACCAAATTTTGGATTAAGGAGACCTGGTGTCTACTGTCCAACTAGCGAACCCAAAACAAGGAAACACTCTTGGGAGATTTGAATTCCCAAAAGAAAAAACTTTATTGGATACACCGTATTGGTACTGAAAAAACAAAAACAATGCTGTTTTCCCCATGCAAATGCTTGCCTAGTTAAACGACAGATTGCCCTTCTCCCCACCCCTAGTGATCCCATTGTCCAGTTATGAGATGTCCTTTTGTTATGGGAGAGTCCATCTCTTTCTCAAGCACCTTCAGTGGTGACTTTGATGGCTTCAAAGCTCTCATGATCTCCCCATATATTTTTGGCATTCCATTTCCCCTTTCCCTCCCCCAATTCATTGGCAAGTTGAAAAGCATTAAGGTTTGAAAGAAGCAAAGTGGTTCAATCTTGACACCTGGATTAGCAGAAGTAAATGTGAGAACAATCTATCAATGCTAGTGGATCATCAACTGAATATAAGCAAGCAGTGAGATGCAGCGGTTAAAAAGACCAATGCAGGATTTTTGCTATATCAGTGCCACTCTTTATTTCACTTGGAGTTATGATGGGTTCAGGACACTGCATTTTAAAAGAGACACAGAAAAGGTGACGTGGATTCAGAGAAGTACAACCAGGATTAAGGGGTCTAGAAACCAAGTCCTACAAGGAACAATTAAAATCCCTAGTCATATTTAACTTGAAAACTAATGATTGGTATAATAATGAGCTACATAACTCTTTAAGTGTGTAATATACCTAGAGGGGAACAATCTGTTCTCTGTTGATACTTTAAGCTTGATAAGGACAAAGGATTAAAACAAAAAAAAGCGAAGATTCAGACTGAGTATTAGGAGGAATTTAAACATGTTACGATTTCCAGAAACACTTTTCCGTTTAGTAGTGACCACCAATTATGGACATTTGAGTGGATCCCTGCAAAAGTGAAAGGTTGGATTATACAACACGTGAGCTGTCTGTCAGACAGGCCACTCACACATTCCTTATACACATCTTCCCTACCTCATCTGACCACAGAAAATTATTCAACATAGTATCCTTAATACGTCTGTTTTCTATGGAGAGGGATTCTTTATTATTTGTAGGAAGCAGCTTTCAATCATGAAAGTCCCTATCCATACTCCAGAAAGATCCGGATACAAGTTGATCATCTCAGTGGGAAAGAATTAGGTAACCAAGATCACAAAAAAGCAGCAGCTTTTTTTGTGATCTTAGGAGGAGGAAAAGCTTAAGAGGAGGAATTTTTCTATCCTGGGCTGCTACCCCTCTAAATTATAGCCTTGTGAAATGAAACTCCCTCTCCATCCATTAAAATTGGAAAACAACATGCAGGGCAGAAATATGAATTTATTCAATGCTGCCCTGTTACCAAGCTCACATCTGCTACTGAAATAGTTTTTCTAATGACCAGTTTAGACAAACCATTAGACAAGCACTGAGGTTTTTCCTGATTTCCGGAGTCAATCTATCAATCAATCAGAATAGAGCTGCAAGGGACCTTGGAGGTCTTCTGGTCCAATCTCCTGCTCAAGGAGGAAAACCGATACCAGTGATGGCTAACCTGTTTGCCATTGTGCGCCAAAAGCAGGGGGAG